GACATTTACTTAACAGTTACCGTTCATATGCAAAAATAAGTAGGAGTAATCTACGCCCTGAACAAACATAAACATAAAACTTTGCATTTGTATATGCTACTCACTATTTTTTTAGTAACATATTTTATGTTGGATAGATTATGCACACAAGAGACCATCTGAATGTTTTCACGGACAAGTTGATCATACCCGCAGCCAAATTTGTACATTTACATATGTTACTCATTCTTTTATAGTAACGTATTTTATTTTGGATATAAATGCATACTGTTTTCAATAGGGTCTTCAAAGGCATTGCCTACTACCCTAAATATACTGAACTATACTGAACTAAATAATGCTAGCTTTCTATATTGTAGGTATGGCTATTCCTCTGAGTAGGAAATTGATCAAACTGTTCGTCCTTATCCGCCAATGGCATCGGCATAATCACAATGACATGCAAGCGGTACAAGAACCATGTGCACCAGTCGAAGGTCCCGCTTCTACAAAGTGAGTTCATCGTATGCGAACTGGCTCAGTAACGGCTGTTGGTTCACTTAGGTTACCCATTTACAAATTCAGTGGCGTTTCCTAAGTATTTCAGATAATTTATCTTTATAATTTTTCGTTTACAGATATAACCAAACAGAATATTGTCTGTCCACCGAGGAAACTGTTACCTCGAATCTTCGAGAAGTACCTGATTGCAAGAATGCCAAATCGACTGGCATGGAGGCATCGGTCAAGGTCCCTTCTTCAGGTTCAGGTGAGTACATGAGGCAAAGGTGTTCTACGTTCCGCTGTTTCCGTTATTCCATGTGCAGATCGCGTAACAGACTAAAACTTTAACCCGTGATACATTTTACTGTATTAGGTAAAACCGTAAATAAGGTACGCCGAGGCCGCGAAGGTCGGGTTTCGAGCCCACACTCGCAAACATTGAGGAGGTTGAGGAAGAGGAGGGTAAAATGGAGGATGAGTCGGCGTTAGAGGGGACGGAAAACGGGGAGAATAAAGACGAGAAGAGGGAGGAAGAGGAGGAGAAGAACGACGACGTTAAAGAGGAGGACAATCAGGCGGAGGGTGTGCATGCATATGAGTTAGAAAAATGTCAACAAGTGGAGAAGGAAATGTCAAAGAAGTTATGGAATAACGAAGTTGCGCACCAGTGCGTGGTCCAGACGGCACTCCGGATTCAGAATAATGCGGGTGAGCCTGCAAATATCGAACCGGAATGGGGAAGGGGAATTGCAACTGAACACGGTAACTTGAAAAGTCGTCGTCGCCAGCGCTTTCGACGACGTTTGCGAAGGTTGTGGGTACGATTTGTAACTTGCGGAACAGGTTTTGAAGGGGAATATACAATATCAATTGAACCTGATCTGAGGACCACATTTGTATATATTTTTTCCAGATATCCTTGTAAATATTAATGATTAGCGTTTCTTCAATAAAACCTATTTTTTGGTGAAGTATTAACTGATGTTTTTCGATGTCGGGCACGTGTATGGCAGACGGGAGATGGGGCAGGTGACTGGCGTGGACGGCGCTGCCATTAAGCTTATAGCTACACACTGCTGGCATCTAACGCATTCGGAGAGTGCTATAGAGGAGGCAACATTATGGGGAGTCATTGCAGCGTCATGTTCAGTCTACCAGTCGGTAACACCACGCAGACGCACACTGAGCTGGCTTTCCTGTTCGAGCTATCCCATCGTTCAGCAACCCTCCAACTATCGCCGTTTAATGAACTGCGATAGAATCAAGCTGTAAGGTGATTTGGAGAGCTCAATGAATGTCAGGTTTAAGGAAGAAATCGTGCTTACGGGACTCGGCATCTCTCCCAACTGCTCAGTTTTCTTTTGCAATAGATGGGCGTATCGCAACAGGTTAAGGCTATTCAGGTTTAACCCTGACGGATGCGATGTTCCAGGCCCGGCTCCTTAGGACAGGAGAGAAGACGGTGGGATGGCCAGATTAGTAGGAGGAATGTTTTGTGTACACAAGAGTTAGGAGGAAGTTGCCTCTCGGTCTGGCATGGCGTTCGACGACCAGTCTACCGGTCGGTCACTCAACTCGGACGCACACTGAGCTGTCTTTCCTTTTCGAGATACCCCGTCCGTCAGCTGTTGTAAATGTGGCCAAGGTTGTAGCATCGTCGTCTAAAGCTGCGTTTGTCGCCTTTTGTGAACCCCCACGAAAGAACACGACAAGAAGGACACAGAAAGCAGAAGTATTTGAGATAACCTAGTACAGCATACTTTAAAGCAAGCAAACGCTTATTTACAAGGTTGAACCAATTAGATGGTGGTCACAAGTAAGACACGACTTAATTGGCTGGATGAGTCATGCAGCTGGCGTATTAGTCATACGCTGGCTTAAGCTGGGTGCGGCGTCACACTATGTATTGTGTGTGTTTGGGCCGACCAGTTGTCTGGTTTGCGTTAGAGTCC